AAGAATGGTGGATCTATACCTCTACTCCCCCATGTCATCATGGCAGAGTGCTTAATTAATTAAGTACTGGGACTTCACCTTTTCATATATGTACTTCCTCTAACAAAAATAGCTCAGATATTTCGGAAGGACGTGACATAACACGTTATTCAAGGCCCTTCTTGAGAAGTCGCCAGTCGCTCAACCACTCAAGAATTTCCTAACATTTTATGAAACCGGGTGTTTCATTACCATGTTCACGAGAGCCCTCCACTGGTCCCTATCCCGATCCAGATCAATCTAGTACATACCGCCCCATCCTATCTAGCCTTCTGGCTTTCCCACAAAAATCCTATATGCATTCCTCTTCTCCCCATATGTGCTACATGCTCTGCCAATCTCATCCTCGACTCATCTCATTATGCAGCTTTCTCCAACCTCCTATCACTTAATCCTTCTTTGGTCCAAACATCCTTCTCAGTACTCTGTTCTCAAACACCCTCAGTCTGTTCTTCCCTTAATGTCAGAGGCCAAGTTTCACACCCATACAGAACCACAGGCAAAATTATATTTTTGTATATTCTAAGTTTTATATTTTTAGACACCAGACGAGAAGACAAAAGGTTCTGAACTGAATGGTAGCAAGCATTTCTCATATCTGTGTGCTGCAAACCACATATTGGGAAACCAGACAACTGTGAAAATTATTAGTTTACTGATATCTACAACTTTATTGGAAAGGAAGTTGTTGTGTGGTTATCATGAGAAATAATTAAGTGGATGTCACAACCAGGGGACAGGGGGTGTCACAACTAGACAGGTCCAGTAAACAAGTATATTTCCAGTTGGGAGGGAATGAAGGACGTAGAAACTTTCATTAGGAAATGTGGGAAGTGCCAAAAGGACAAACCAACATCATGTCACTGATCCAAATAATGTAATTTCGAGATAATGATCCCTTGGAGGTAGAGAAATTGGAAGTACTTTGGTATGCCATGTTACGTAAATTTCCTTATAGAAGCATTTATATACCTCCTGAAAATTAGGAGGGGGGGGGGAATATATCTTCAAACATTCAACACAGGCAGTCATGCTGTGACTCAGCTTCAGTAACAGTCTTTAGTTCGAATCTCTTCTCCTGGGTGTCTGTAGTTTCGGCAGAGTTTAGCCTGTATCATATTTTTCACTTAATAAAGCTCATCATTTATCTGCACCCAAAGATGGCTCTGGGAGCTAAACGACACTCAAACAATGCTTTGCTCAGTGGTTCTGCAGCCACCTGAACACAACAGCATCTGCTCAGCTCATCTGTAAGTGGTTATCTCAACCTGGAGGGCCAAAGGTCCAGACCCTCAGACAGGGATATTATATATTACCCGAATTCTGACTCCTTTTAATTTCCTCCTGAATCAAATTTTAACCTGTTTCTGTCATTCCAAAATATTCGAAATCTGTCACATTTTCAAACGATTTATTAGCTATCTTTACATTATGATTTTTGCCTGCATTCTGGTGATGAGACAACATACAGTAAGTTTTCACTGCATTTACTTCTAGACCATCTTCCTTACTAGCATCAATTAAAATTTCTGTGCTTTTCTTTATGGCATCTATATTATCTCCCAACAGATTTAGGGTTTATATCATCAGCACAGACCATCAGCTGTCTGATTTAATTTCACTCTCACCTGGTTTTAATGGGCCATCTTAATGTAAAGTAAAAGTAAAAAAAAGTAAAGCTATCCCTGTACCAGGCCTTGAAGGGCCATAGGGTTGTGAGATGTTGAGGGTCCCACACTATCTAGACAATCGGCTCAAAGGTGGCGGTAAGGTTGTCAGCCTTACGCGTTGGCCGCACTTTACTCCCCAGGAAAACTATTTAATCAATTCCTGGTACTCATTTCTGCTAGAGGCTGAGTAAACCCCAGGGCTTAGTGCGGCTGGAAGGATTAGGTCAATTGAAAAAATCCAATGACCTCATCGGGATTTGAAACCGCGACCTTCTGGCTTGTAGCGTAGCACCTCAACCACTATGCTACTGTGTGCCCCTTGGGCCTTCTTAATGGCATATTATACATCCAAGTTGAAAAGTAATGGTAAAAAAGCATCTCCTTGTTTTACGTCTTTCTGTACAGGATACAATTCAGATGAATGTTTAGCCACACAGATTTTACTATAGGTTTCATTTAAACACATTTTAATAAGCCCAACTAGTTTCATGGGGACCCCAAACACTATTAGAATATTTTACAATACTTCTCTGTTAACTGAATCATAGGTTTTCTTGAAGTCCATGAATATGTTATGTACTGCCTCAGTGTACGCTCCAATTTTATCTCCAGTGTCTGACAAATTTAAAAAATCTGATCAGCAGCAGGAGGGTGTAGTAAAATTGTGTTGTGACCCATCTGACTTTCACTGTGTTGCTTAATGCAGTGTCCCTGCTGTCGAACTATTCCATTACACACTCTTCTCTGTATCTTCTTTGGATTTTCATGATGAATGTATTGTGGCATATTTGCTCAAAGCAAAAACTGTGGAACCAGAAAAACAGCCATTGCTAGGTAATGCCTGAATACAACAACAGAGGAATTGTCATGATATGAGATGTGACATGCACAGTCGCTGCTATGGAGCAATTGGGTAAGCATGTTCCTGCGAAGACAAATTCATGCAACACTAAAAGATCTGTTTTCTGTGCGGTTCATGCAGAGGGGTTATAAAAAGAGCAAAGTTCATTTAGGTCAGTTGAGTTTCAAGATGTCAGCCTGCCAGGATATGAGCTTGGGAGTGGTGGAGTTGAACTGAGGAATTTAGGCATCAAAATTCTTAAGTGTGGTTCGGTGGGGTTGAAAGTCTGGCTGTGAACAGAAGACAGCATGTGATTTGAAGACTTTATGTGTCTGCAGTTGCAGTGAGACTGTTATAAATCCATTGCCAGGATATGACTAGTAAAGACTGAGAACTGTAAAGTGTGTAGATCAGCAATAGCACTGTAATTGCCTGTTGTACAGAGTGGTGTTTATAAGGTGTCAATACAACCACTCATCCAGTCCAAATCCCCTCTAATAGTCACAACTCTTACATGTGACAGTATGTTGAAATGCCTTAATAAACTGATGCTGCAATTCCATGCATTGCTGAGTTTGAACCTTTCCTCTCGGTCTGTACTGTCTGGCTGTAATTTTATTTTTTTTGCTTCTTCGACAAGTGGGTCCATGTAGCCTGAGGTTTTGGCCAGTACTTTGGTCTCGTGGATCTTGATCTGGTGACCTGATTCAGTGCTGTGTTATGCCACTGTGAGTTTAACCCGCTGATACAAACGTATATTCTGTTCAGGTTCTTTGCATCATGAATCAATGGATCAATCTATCTGTCCTGTATGCACTCTTTCAAAATAAAATTTAACATTGTAAATATGTGAATATGTTTCTTTGAGAATTTGAGGAAGAAATATTACATTATATGCCTGAGGTACATACCAGTTATATATCATAATTCAACTGTGACCAAGTAATTAATAGGCTGCACCACAGCTCAAGTGGTTAGTCACTGGCTTCCCACCGCAGCGGCCCGGGTTCGATCCCGGGTCTGGTCAAGTGGAATTTGTGGTGGAAAAGTGACGCTGGGGCAGGTTTTCTCTGAGTAATTCAGTTTCCCCTGCCAATCTCCATTCCACCAATTGCTCCACAATCACCCTCACCTATCATCTGGGGCTGGTACAATAGGCCAGAAGTGGACACAGTACAAGGGACTTAGTCCCACTCCACTAGCAATAAAAAAAAAGTAATTAATACAAACAAACTCCCCAGCTTCAGTCCACAAGCAAACTATACCAACCAAGCGACCGCTACTTGTCAGTGAAGTTAGCGCCAACTTTAACAGATAGAGGGTGTCGCATGGTCAGTGCAACGGATCCCCACAGTCGTTAATCTCGGTTTAAAATGTTTGGGTCTGACTGGACACAGACTGCATATTATAATTTTTTACAAGGTTGAACACAGACTGAATATTATAATTTTGTTAGATGTAGCAGGTATATTAAATACAATATCTTTTAGTATAATGGAATTATGGAAATGAATATGAACTTACAGATTCCTAAAACAGTGCTGACTGATACCGTTTCTGAACGTTTAACAGTAATGTCCTGTGCACATTATTGCCATATAAATTCTATGGAGAATATAATGAAACCTGTATTTTAAAACTGTGATATGTAAAGATAAAGTTGTCCCTGTGCTTAATTAGTTAAGCACTATGCCGTGAAGACATATAGGAGAGTGGAGGTATTGCTCCACCTTTCTTGACCTCAGCACTAGATGGAGGTGAGTGATCAGCTTCACACCCCTGCCGCTTTACCCCCGGGGAAAGAGTCCCACGTACCCATTGGACAGGAGGCTGGGTGGGCCCCAGATTCGGTCTAGACACTGTGAAGAAGAGAAAAATCCACAAATATTATATATTTTTGCATCATATTATGTGTGTAATTTTTTTTAATTTGTTCCGTCACAATAAGAAATGCAGATACACCATAAATTCGTGGTGGCTCAGTGTGCCGAAACATTTAAAAAACGACGAATATATGGTGTATCCATATTTCTTATTGCGATATGTAATGTACTCGTAGCTTAACGAGATACACAACTCTTAGCTCTAAAAGATTACCATATATCGAAACCATTCCTAAATTATGTTTTATTTTTCAAATAACACGAACCATCTGTGTAATAAACATGTACACACGAAATCCAACTAAAAAATATACTTGTTGTAGCAATTTTCGCAACGTTTATTATACAAACACATATTTCAACACACAGTTTTATAAGCGATACAGAACAGAGGGTGCATGCAATGTAGCGATGTGCTGTAAAACCGTAAATTGTAAAGCGCAGTCGACACATTGGCAGAGTCACGAACCCTGTTGTGTGTAAACAAAGACCACGCCTCTTTAGCGCCAGTAACAACACAGAACCGGCGGGGATATGATAGATACAAATTCTACAAATAAAACTTACAGCACGCTTGATCTCCCTATTCGTCGATAATCTGCGATGAAACGATTTAGCCGGTTCGGTTTCGCCATCGCTTTCTGATGATTCTTCACATGTTTGTTCACTGCTGACCGTACGAGCTGCACCTCCACCATTCTTGCAACCAGACGCCATACTTATTTTTTGCCACGGATCAAACTTGAGGCCGCTTCAGGCCATTAAATGGATTTAAGAAATATTATAGCGCCATTGAGCGAAAATGGATGACTTCAATTGAGTGTTATGACCATGGGTCAAAGACGTTTATATTTCACCCTTATGATGGCAGCACTAACAAAATATCTGGATGGGTACGGCCTAGGCCAGTGTTTCTCAAACGCCGCACCGCGGACCACTACCGGTTCATCTAACAAAAAATAATTATTTACCGGGCCGCGGTCTCTTAAAGGTTGAGAACCACTGGCCTGGGCCCTTTTTGTATATACATGTTTTTTTAAGTAAATAATAAATAAGGTTGAAAGACTTCTGTGTTGTCGAATATAACACTGTGAAGTGCGTTGAAAGTCAACCAGTTTCGAAGTAACATGTTGCCTCCATCTTCAGGGTCGAACTCTTCATAGCCACTAGTATGAGAACCTCATATCTTCTTCGACCCTGATGGTGGAGCAGACATGTTCCTCCACTGGAAGCCGCTCACAAGTACTCAAGAATAATTCACCTCGAATTTTACCTCTCTTTTAATGCACATGACCACTGCATTTATTTTCGATTCTGTATGGGCTGGTGACCATAATCAAATTTTTCCCAGTGCTAGAAGTCTCGATTTTGATAGCCCATCATTCTCGCGGGCCTGAACTTGTCAAGGGATCACTCATCTGTGACTGCAAACCTTTCATTTTTTTGTTCTTCCAGTATCTACATACTTTTTTTTCATACTCCTTCCATATCTCGTGCAAAAATTTCCTCTGCAATCAATACAGCATTCATACGGAATGAAGAAAGAAAATTAAACAAAATCATAATCTGCACTATCTTTGATCTCCAAGGCATAGATTAGCTCAAGCATGTTAACATGCAGCCAATCTGCAGAACCTACACACGTCACATAAATTAATGTCACTGAAAGCTGAAGCTGTCAAATTAGAAAGGAGATCAATGGACAAGTCAAAATTCACACCTACAGAAGGAACAAATAAATTGCATAAATCGTTTTAAACTTTGCATTCTGCTGTCTGAGAATAAACAGACAATTCAAGTCTGTCACTGACAGAACATAATCATCGTTATTAACAAATCAATTGAGCTCAGAGGTTTGTGACATATCCATTAGAATTTTTATTAATTTACACAATTATAATGGACATTATAGATTGTCTAAAGACTATTTAAAATACATGTTTTTGAAACTAGAACCATCAGAATGATTCTCCCACCCTACATGACAATGGAAATGGATCCAGTTTCCAGAACATCCTGCATTTTAAATAGTCTCCATTCAATGGACTTGTTCAATATAATGTTTCCCTAACGAATAGACCACTGTCACAAACTTTTCAAGATTCCTTTATTAACTTGTACAACTTTAAAATAATGTGAATAATATTAACACTGAAGTACCATGAAAGTTTAAGATCACCTAAAAACTCTAACCGAACCATTGAAATCCTTCCCCCCCCCTCTTTTTATTTCAGTAGTTATAAAGTAGACAGTAAGTACTAAGAAACAGGTCAAGACACAGTCAGAACAAGCAGATAGACCGAACTTGGGCGGACAAGGACATCTGTTAGTTCTTGCGTCCAAGCATCTGGGGTTGCTTCGAAAAGGGCAGAAATGATACTTCATGGAACCCCCACTGAGTTTCTTTAGAAATTGAGAAGTTGACTTAGAACGGCAAGCCACTTTGAGAATTCGAGACGTGACAGTCGCAACCCGTCGTTAGTCAAAAGTGGGGGTGCCAGGAGTTCATTAGCGACCCTCATAAGTCGCACAGCTGTCAATTTCGCTATTTGGGATTTTAGGCCGAAACTACTTCTAAAACAATCGGTCATTGGCCGGAACCAAAATTAAGCCAACTCCTCTTATTTGAATCCACCTATCCGGGAATTTAGGAGGAGAAGAGAGGAGGCGGATACAATTCAGTTAGGACCTCTGGCTCGGCAGAGAGTCCAGTTTAAGATTAAGAGTCTGCTACAAAACTTTGAACTTGGCAGAGGTGCAACACCAGCGGCTTGGAAGCCGAGACTAGGCCTGATAGTGTAGATTTAGACTCCGAGTGACTGTGAGAAACAATAAAGTGTTCCAGTGGCAAAGTGCATTGTGTTGGTCAGAAGTGCTTCACCCTCACTTGTCCGAGCCTGACCCTTAGCTGACCTGAGGAGAGACTCATCACCAGGAGCTAGTCGAACCCATCGCCAGCTTCCACCCCACTCACACCTTCCCTCCTTTAAAATGAATCGCAAACAGCACCTAGCTGTTTGCTGGCGCCCATAATATCAGGTTCTATGCTGAATTTCCAACCCCGTAATCAGCAACGGAAGGAGGAAGTGGTGGAGCCTGGTCAAGCCAGAACCAGCCACGCCCTAACAACTTCAACGGAGGCAGCACCAGGTAGGGCAGTCAAAGTGACAAGTGGCAACCACCTTGTGGGCAAGAAGCCTCAAAAAGGGTGGGCAAGTAAAAAACCATTCACAAGGAGAAACAACAAAAAATTATTCAGTCTTCACTAACAGTGGAAAAGTCATGCAGTGACCATATTTTGTACAATTTCCTTGTGATTAAAAAAATGTCATCTTCAAGATAACTTTACAGTTTGTGACACACTCTCTCTGGAGACAGATTAGCTTGATGAAAGAGAGCAAGCACAGCCAGCTTCTGAACGTATTTCTAATTATGAAATGAGATGGCAAACGTCCAACATGTGTTTAAGTTTATATTTATCTTCTTTCTAAAAATACAAAGACTTCATTAAACAAAACTATATTACATATAAGATTGTGAAAATTTGTCTCATTCTGAAGGAAGAACAGAGATCTGAGATGTTCCAAACTTTCTGAGGAGCTTCATAATTTGTACTGTGGCCTTCTAGGTTGACTCCATGAAGTCTACTTAGTGGTTAATAACTTTTAGAGGATCCCAATGCCTCCATCTTTCGGCTAAATTTCTACACTGAAGATGGAACTGCAGGCTGAAGATGTGGGTACTAAGATGCTGTATTGTAAGACTGTGGGCCAACCAGTAGGATGATTAGCAATAGTGAATCAATAGGACATTGGCAGAGACAATCATGAACCTATTCTATAATATCACATCTTCAGCCTACAGGAAAGTCATGAAATATCTCAGTGAACACATGTAATCTCCCTCTATGATTCTAAGCACTCATCTTAAATGATGCAGGACTTATTACAATGGCCCCCTCTGTTCTGCTTAGTGACATTAGAAATTCATCACAGGAAATCAAGAAAGTTCACACCAACAGCAATTTACTGTGCATTTTTGGATACAAAATGGTTTGTTTCTGTCAAAAGATGGCAGTGATAACAAGAAAATGTTCCAAGTTAAATTCACATAGCATTCATACAAAATGATACTGATAATAATGGTGATAGTAGTAACAGTAGTAGTATCACCACACTATTGAATACAAACACATATATACAACACTACTGCTACCCTTTGAGGAACACAACACTGCATCGTTAGTCTCAGCACATCAAATTACAACCTCATATATAACTGCAACTGTTGACTTCACAGTACTTGATATATTATGTGACAGGTGTGAACACAGGTAATCCTGAGATTTTAAAAGATAAACACGTTTAAAGCCTCCTTATCCATGCAATGAAATAAGTAATTTTAGGAATACTAATCTGTCTATATGTGCAGCATTCAAATATCTGAATCCTTTATCAGACTTCTTCTATATTTGGTATCTACTAGTGATTACACCTCACCAGGTGTCCTACAAATATCAATCTTACAAGCAGAAAATTAAGAAAACTTTACATGGACGTTGAAACATATCATTAAGTTTTTGTTTTTGTTTTTTTTTTATATATATATACAATGATTAAGGTACATTCTACTCACTCACAGAAGATAATGTTCCACATAACACTGCATATGTAAAAATTTCTTAAATTAGATGTGGTGACCAAGATTTCATGTTACTAGACACAAATAACAAATACAAGGAATCTCTCACAATATGGCTTCACCATGTATTTGTTTCTAACTTTTCAGAGCACAATGGTACTACTTGTTACAATTTCAAAAACTTCACTCGTAAACACCATTGACTATGACAACAAAGATGCAGTTTTTTCATGAATTTAGAAAACTTTTTGAAATATTAAACAGATAACCTTCAGCCTTTAGCATATTGTAACCTTACATGCATCAGGCCCAGCTGACAAAACATTATATTCTTTCAATTACTGAGAAAAAATCTAGCTGCCAACCGTATTAATATTGAGTGTTTAAATACCGTATTCTTGGACAGAAAATGTTATAACTTAGTGATACCAAATGAACTGGTTAAGCCAGTACCAACTGAGGTAGCGGGCACAAAGTGGACTGATACTACTAAAATGTTTCAGTATTACTGTCAAATCTCACCTCAAATAATTAATATTTACTATAAATGAGTATCTCTGAGCACTTACTAATGTCTGCACTTGAGACAGGCTTCATCACTAGAAACACACCACAATTAACCACTATAATTCTTTAGTTTGAGGTTAAACCTAAAAACCGACGTGTACTGGAAATTATTCTACCAAAAGCTTTTAATACTATGTTAAATTTAAGTCTTTACATATAGATACAGCAGCCTATTTCAAACATTGTAACAACCTTCCAGTTTCCTCAAAGACACGGAAATATCTCACCCAGCTGAGCAATTATTAGTTTACAATGAAATGTTAATTATGTGCCTTTTCTTCACTGCTCTCATACACTTAACAGTAATCACAGCCAGAAGTGAAGTCCCAGTAGTGAAGATTTGCTTGTACTCTTACAATTACTCCAATAAATCCAAGCATGGTGAAAGGATATGAGAGAAGTTACCTTTTGTTTTTGCTAGGTTTAGCTGCAAGTTTGGTAGTAGATAACACCATGTGAAAGTTAATTATATTAGCAAAAGCACACTTCCAATCATAACTTGTACTACATATGGATCTTACATCAGCATAGAATTTTAATTTGTAATTGTGATGTGTACTACAAAAAAAAAAAAAGAAAGTTCAGCAAAAAAANCACACTTCGGCTCTATAAGCAGAAATACATAACAAATGCTATTCAGTGGGTTACAAGCACGAGTTCTATAACAAGCTATTCCTTAGGATGGAAGACACAAACTGCACTATTTCTTGATATCACAACAAATTTTCATATGCAATAACAATTGGAAACTCTTGGAATGCTGGTGCCAGTGTAGATCAAACTAACAAGAAATATCAATAATAATAACATACACAGGTAAGACTCATTTCAGTAACTCAGTGTTAGTAGCCTTTATCCAAAGGATAGCATTCAATATGTGTGAAACACCATTAGATAATAATATTCAATACTGATAGCCTTGACCCAATGTTGAGGATTCAGAATGTGTGAAATACTGCAATATCACAATAAAGTTCTATTGCACTAGCAACAAATCTTCATCATTGGAATATTTATATATTGTCAACAGCTATGTTTATCCTCAATGCAGAAGCAGGATTCATGAGAGATATACGAATCCTACTCTCAAATTTCTCTTTTATATATGAAAAGTCCATTACATTACGAGGCTTTGCTTCAACCCAAAACCTGTCAAACTCATAGAACAAGTAACAATAAAACTGGTGGAAAACTTTCACAGTTGGCAGTCCTCTTGAAACATTATAAACATGAGACTTTGCAGACCCATCTTTCAGCATGTGATAAGCCATGCTGGTTAGATTTATGCCTACAATTGCAAATGCATAGCCATACTGAGGGTGATGGGAATGTGACAGTACATGGCTAGCAGGGCCAGGATATTCCTGTGCAAAATAAACCAAGTTTTCTAGTCCCAGCAATCCCATGCCCCTGAAGTCTGTTTTTGGATCATCCCCTTGAAAACCAATGTCTTGCCATTGTTTGGTGATTCTAGATTCAAGCTGAACTGATGGCATCAGCAGTTCCCATAAAGTCAACAATTTATTTTCATGATCCTTGTTGTCGGCATCATATGGAGTAATACGAAGAGTTTCGACATCTTGAATCAACTGACGATATCCCCAGATATGTTCGATGCACTTTGCGAAAGATTTCCCAAACTGTGGATGGATTTGTGGATTGATTTGTTTCACCCTCAAAACAGTGTGTACAGCATAATGAATTATATTCTCTTGGTTCGTGCCTGTAAACTTTCTGCCATCACTCATTCTATCCAAGATCATGACGAGTTTTTTTATATCACCAGATCTAGACTGAAGGAGCGATTTCTCGACACTAAGTGATCTTGGTGCACCAGGTTTCTCACCATAACATACCCTCTGTAGTTCGCATAATCTTGTAGTTTCTCTCAAAAACCTCTTCACTAAAGGCCTTAAATACCAGCAAATAACAGCCAATAAAGACCGAAACACAGTTAACATTTTAATCCCTAAATTTACGAACTCTGATAAATTCAAGGATGAAGATCTAGATAACCTTACTTTACTTTGCAACCCTGAATTCGACGACAATGACACCCAACCATAATTTAAAAATATACCAACTACTTTTTCAGTTGAAAAATTTCTCGATCTAATACATAACTATTATATAGCTCACATATCCACATCACCCAGTCATACACTATTATGTATAAAGCGTAAATCAATAAATTCAGCTAGAGTCCTTTTTTTTTCGCGCTTTTTCAATCTCTGCATTTCCATGGCACTCTTTTGTCTCTTAACGTTGGCATGCATGACATACCAGGAAGGCCAACAGCTTTTGGTCACCAGTACAAATTGTCCTTCACATCTTCAATTTTATCCTCTGCTGTTGCACGAACCTTCAGAACAATGAAATCACACCAGCGACCTCTTAGTACCATGTACAACAGCCTGTCATAAAATCCACCCATTTAACTGCTAATATGATTCTCTTATGTACGAAAAAAATACTTCCTTATCCATGATTCTCATTCCCCTTTCCATAAATAAATGCATATTTTCCTGCTTGTTCGGTACCATCTCTGTCCCATCTCACCTGCACTCCCGCTAAATCTAACATTTGTATTTTGATATTTTTTTCACCACTCTCATGAGGGAACCTCCCTTATACAAAGCGCTTGCAGACCACGTACCAAATCTCATGTCCATTTTCTTTAGCATAGGTCGTATATCTAAAGAATCCTTCCAGATCCGAGGTCCTTTGTGATATTTCATAACAATCTTATATTTTACGGTGAGGATTTGTTAGCTCCACGCCCAATCCCAATCTGGAGGACCACCAATTGTCAGCGACTATTTAGGTCTAAGCCGATGATTGAAACTACTGAGTGATAACATAGATGTCATAAAGAAAAACACAGAAACTCTAACTGACGCAGTAAAGAAATTTGCCTAGAAGTAAATACAGGGATTTCTAAATATATGTGGACGAGTCATTGCCAAAATGCATGGCCAAATCATAATATAAAGATAGCTAATAAATCCTTTGAAAATGTGGCACGGTTCAGATATTTGGGGACGACAGTAACAATTCAGTATTTTATTCAGGAAGAAATTAAGAGGCGACTGAATTTGGGCAATGCTTGCTACCATTAGTTGCAGAACCTTTCGTCTTCTGTCTACTGTATAAGAACACAAAAATTCGAATATACAACACTATAATTTTGCCTGTGGTTCTGTATGGGTGTGAAACTTGGTCTCTGACATTAATGGAGGAATATATACAGAGAGTGTTTGAGAACAGGATGCTGAGGAGAATATTTGGACTAAAGTGAAATGACGTGATGGAAGGTTTGAAAAACTGCATAATAAGGAGCTTCATAACTTGTACTCTTCTCCAAGTATAATTAGAATGATCAAGTCAAGAGGATGAGGTGGGCAGGTCATGTAGCACGAATGGGGGAGATGAGGAATGCGTATAGGATATTGGTGGGAAAGCCAGAGGGAAAGAGACCACTGGGAAGATCAAGGCGTAGGTGGGTGGACAATATTAAAATGGATCTTAGAGATATAGGATGGATGGTATGGATTGGATTGATCTAGTTCAGGATAGGGACCAGTGGAGGGCTCTTGTGAACAGGGTAATGAACCTTCGGGTTCCATAAAGTGCTAGGAAGTTCATGAATAGCTATACAACTGGCGGCTTCTCAAGAAGGGCTAAGCTTCATAACGTTAGTTCGTTCGTTAATATAAATTGTCAGTTTTAAAACTGTTACTTCATTGTGCAGAAATTGTGACTTTCAAACGCAGCACAAATATTCGTACATTAATAGAATAGAGTGTAACATTTCAAGTGACACCTGTAATATATTCTTTAACATAATTAACTTGCTGACGAAAGAAATAATGAACTAAGCCACAAACAGGTGGAATATAACTCCAACATTCTAGCAGAAGAAACTACTGGAGGTTTAACGGATATGCGATTCGGAACAGTGGCTAGAGTACTACAACTTGATTTTTCTTTGAGCTATTGAAGAAATGTGGTTCTTAATGAAAATTATATTTCAACGACTCATAACGGATCTTAGATCACTTTTCGTATCAAATGGGATCATGACACTACATGCCTTCAAAACGTCGGTTTCACACACAATATTTGAACCTCATCCAGGCCACGCCATAGCTCAAGCGGTTAGTCGCTGGCTTTCCGCCGCGGCGGTCCGCGTTCGATCCCGGGTCTGGTCAAGTGGGATTTGTGGAGGACAAAGTGGCACTGGGGCAGGTTTTCTCCGAGTAATTCGGTTTCCCCTGCCAATCTTCATTCCGCCAATTGCTCCACAAATACACCCTCACCTATCATCTGGGGCTGGTACAATAGGCCAGAAGTGGCCGCAATACAAGGGACTTAGTCCCACCCCACTAGCATTAAAGGAAAATAATCTCATCCACCTGCCCCACCTGAAGGATATCACGGATTAACTTCTATGCTGACAAGAATAAATATGTGGTCCTAAACTTTAATTCCCTCACTACCTACCCTGCCTACAAACGGACGTTAAATCTATTGGCAATACTGCGAGTTGTACGTTGTAGCGAGACAATAAACACAGGAAACCATGAAATAGGACATAGGTAAAAGAAATACCATCGTGTATTACATGTTGACTGTACATGCGACACAGAGCGAATCAGATTGGTTGGATATTTGCACTGACGTGGAAGTGGTGTGTTATAGGTATCTGAAGCGTGCAAGGTTTGAAAGATAGCCAAAAAAGTATTAAATATTTGTAGCAGTAATTTTAAACATGTTTCAAAATCTCTTTGATGATGTGAAGCGGATGAACAAACGCCAGGTAATATTATTAGTATATAATACCTGTTACGAATATATACACATATGGATGTATTCATAACATAACTAACCTTAATCGGACTATGAATAACTGGCAGATGTGTTAAATGTAACAGTTGTTTTTTTTTTTTTCAGTTCTTGTATCAAGTTCTGAGCTTTGGAATGATAGTTTCATCAGCTCTAATGATATGGAAAGGCCTTATGGTTGCAACCGGCAGTGAGAGCCCAATTGTTGTTGTACTAAGGTTGGTATGCATCAGTGAAGCATTTACACAGTAGTAACTGTCTGGTTGTTCAATGACTATGAACTCAACATTGAAATTGCATTTTTCAAGCTTTCAAACCATAAACTGTAAATTTGTGGTGTGCATCTGTTAGTGTCATTCACTGTTTTTGTTTCATTAAAATCCTGATGAAGGCTTTTCATGTCATACAGTGGAAGTATGGAACCAGCATTCCATCGTGGAGATTTGCTCTTTCTAACAAACTATAAAGAAGAACCAGTAAGGGTGGGTGAGATTGTTGTGTTCAAAGTGGAAGGACGAGACATCCCTATTGTACATCGTGTCTTGAAACTCCATGAGAAGTAAGTTAAATTCTGTGTGTTATCCTCACATTATCTTACTGACACACAGGTGCAGCACTGAGGTCTAAACAAATGGTGCATTTAACATGTTACTGTGATCAAGGTACATGAGTGCTATGGTGTTGACTCGTGAGTTCTTCAGACAACTGCTAGCTGAGATAGTGTCATGATTCCTACAATTGTCTCTGAGAGTCTGACCTAATGTTACAGACCAAGCAGGCTGCAATTCACACATTGGATGCTATAAATCGTGAATCCCTGCATGACCCTCTTGTGTGAAACAACATGAATATGTTTTCTATTCAATCATATCATGTACTAGAGCCATTGAGTATGTTGAAATAGTGCATTAAATTTTGAAAGTAATTATAAAACCTGAAGATTAAAATGAAGGTTAAAAATTTGCATTTCTCAAGCAGTGTAATTCAGTAAAATGCCTAAAATTGTTTTGTGATATTGGAAGAATACATGTGATTAGACTTTAATTTGCTTAGCAGGACAATTTCAACAATGTAGGAAACCAGTTTCAGTGAGGCCTCATAGTATTTTTACTTCAGCACACACACACAAATAATACCAGCACAAGACAGTCAACAAAGACAGTACTTCATCATAATGGGAAGGTAGTTTATGAAGGCCAGTATGGTGGAAATATAGCAACGGTGTCTGTAATATCTACAGATCAAGGAGCAGGTTAATAGAATTATGTTTGCTTGTGGCATTTGTATTATTAGGATGAGTTTGTGTTGTATTTGTATTTATTGTAAGCTAAAGAGATCCAAAGATGGATATAGAACATAGAATTCATACATAGTATTACACAGCTAGACAGTACAGTGAATACAACAATAAAAGTTATCTATTTAGATATTCATCCACAGTATAAGATGTACGAGCGTTCAAGAAATGCCTTAATACAGCCTTGAACTTTTTAAAATTATTAGATGTGTTCTTAATCTTTATGGGCAATTTATTAAATATTTTTATACCTGGATAATAAACTACTTTTTGATAAATAGTTAAATTAGCTTGAGGTAAATACAGATCTTGTCTTTGTCTAGTATCAATAGTATGAGAATCAATGTTTGATGGAAAAAGAGCTTTATTTTGCAATACAAATACTAACAATGAAAATATATATTGTGATGCAAATTATAAAATATTTAACTCTTTAAATATGTTTCTACACGAAACTATTGCTATATCCCAACATCGCTCTGATAGCCTTTGTTTGGAGAAGAGAAATAGCAGAACTTTGAGATGAGTTTCCCCAAAAGATGATACCATAGCTCATTAAGGGGTGAAAAAAGGAATAATAGATTACTTAGAGCTGAAATAGACATATAATATTTCATATTTCTAATTACGTAACAAGCCTCATTTAATTTTTTTACAAGTACATCACTATGATTCTTCCATATTAAGGTACTGTCAGCTGTAACTCCCAAGAATTTAGTACTGAGGGTACTGCTGATAAACTTATTATTATGATTCAATGTAAAAGTATCTGACATTACTGTCTTAGTTTTAAACTGAATACAATGTGTCTTGTTAAAGTTTAAAGATAATTTATTGGCTCTAAACCATCCATTTAAGATTTCAATTGTTATATTGATTGATTGATTGATTTATTTCGTCACTGTAGATCATTGTACATGATATATGACAAGTCAAGTTAATTCTGAATATAAGAATATTCCTGTTAAGATCATTTGTATTAGAATGTGAAAATAAGATGCTAGTATCATCAGCAAAAATTATAAGCATAGAAAATTTATTTAATATTTTATGCAAGTCATTTATATAAAAGAGAAACAACAAAGGCCCTAATACAGACCCTTGCAGCACTCTCTGTCTAACATTAAGCCAATCTGAGGATACTGTATTCACATCGCTTTTATGTATTACTGTTCTAATATATTTGTTACTTAAATAAAGATTCATAAAGTGCGTGATCTTTCCCAGTAATACAATAAAATTTAAGTTTGTACAACAAGATAACATGATCTACACAGTCAAAGGCTTTCTCCAGATGCATGAAAGAGATGAGAAATGCATACACAGTTTTGTTTCTGAAAGCTGAAAGGAAGTGGCATGTTGGAAGACTGAGTTATAAATAGAAAGATAATATTAAAATTGCTTTGGATTTGTGGGATGGAAGGGTGTGGACTGAACATGTGGTGTAGAATGAACACAGTAGCAGACTGTTGTGGATGTAGGAATAATGCTTAATTAATGAATTACAGGAGTATGTGACTTAGGTCACAGTAGAGAATGCTCGTGAAATTCTGTTGTGTTAGTAGTGTGGTGTGAAACATGGATGTAGAAAGCTGATTTCTATTCTGAATCATGTAAATCTCTTCCAGTGTGAATGGCACAGTAAAGTTCCTGACCAAGGGTGACAACAATAGTGTTGATGATCGAGGACTGTATGCACCTGGACAGCTGTGGCTCACCAAGAAAGATGTTGTGGGACGTGCAAGAGGGTTCTTGCCTTATGTTGGGATGGTCACCATATATATGAATGAGTATCCAAAATTCAAAGTGAGTCAGAGAACACATAGTGGTGTACTTGTTTCAGTAGGGGGAGGGGGGACCAGTCAAAAATTATTTGCTGCGTTGCAGCTGTGTAGTGGTCAATACTGGCAGCAGCAGGAAGCAGGTTGTGTGTGTGAGATGCTGAATCATGCTACATGTTTCAGCCAGTTTTTGCAGGTTTAGAGTCAATGTTAAGTATTGTAACCTGTTTAGTGACATAGATAAGGTTTGGATTGGTTAATTGGATTCATTGGACTCTTGAAACTCGTAACTGCAGTTAATTATAGTGCACACGCTTTACAGTTCACTATAGCATGCACTGAGTCATCTCAGCCTGCTGTGTCTTCACAATTTGTTGCTTGGTAACGGGTCCCAGTGCCATAGATTACTCAGCTTCCATGTTCCCATCCTTATGGGCTGCTGATTGTCTCATAGCTTCTCATGGCTGCAACTCCTGGCCATTGAAATCCTAACCATGTCTGGCCTCCCTTGGCTACCACTCACTGTTGCTGGCTAATGCTGAGTGAAAACTGCGTGACTTAGAAACTGAAAGCCCCTGCAACAGTTCCTCTGTTGTTGCATGTGCAGCAGTCACTGAGCCCACATGATGCTTACCGGCCACTGTGCAGAAACAGATACCTGTTAAATCATGTCATCGCGTGTTTACCATGCCATAACCTAGCAATGGGTGTCTTTGTGATTAAACTATTCCAGCTTTCAGTGGACATGCAACAGTATCAGTATGGAGCATTGGGTGTTACATGAGCTCACCCTGAAATGTGTTTCTTAAGTAATGCTGCTTGATCAAAATTCTAGGTATGTGGGAGCAGAATGCATTTCTGTGTCACAAAGGATTGCAAGAAGTTCTCTCATGTTGTGCTGTGGCCAAGATGGATGTGTCTCTTGAGAATGGGAAGCCAGATGATCAGTAATAGCAAGGGATGAGACTGTGAAGGCTCTGTTGTCTAAGGACCAACTGTGACATTTCACATGAGACTAGTATTATGTCATCCATAAGCTGAAAATGTGGCAGATCTCGCGTGCAACAGGTTGGCATGTGGCAGTGAATAGAAACTGCTATATTGCTTTTGGATTATGCACATGAGGATGAACCTTGAGTTCAAAAGACAGTCAAGTGAATGACAGCACCAATGGTCATCATGCACCCCCCCCCCCNGAACTAAAGCAAATGCTGGATATTATTAGAGCTTCCTGGTGCAGCACCTGTGCCCCACACTGTGTCTTCAGTGACCACAGCTGCAGTCAGGCTCTATGTGTTGATCTGCAAAATCTGGAGTCATTTGGGATGGATGGTGATTGATCGTTCAAGCTGTGAAATTAGGAGGCACCGGAACATTCGCTGTACTTGCCAGACACGAGCCCATGTGATTATGACGTCTTCTGAAAACCAAAAGAAAACCATATGAGGCATCCAATTCGAGATGAAAGAACGGGTTATAGTTGGCAGTAGAGTTGTAGATCATGGACATAATGAAAGAAAATGCTGCTGATGGCATATTGTGACATGTTGCGCAAAGCCGAGCCCCCCCCCCNATGCGCGGTGACGTCACGAGCGGAGCCGAAGAGAGCCGAGCGGAGCCGAAGATAGCCGAGCCCCGTAACCGGGTAACTATGCAAGGCGAATCAACAGCGGTGACGTAACCGGACAGCGTGGCTAGCAACAAGGGTGCCTATTACGTGGCCGTATTGTCCGATCGAGGCTACATAGGGAGAAGCGAAGGCTATTCACAGTCAGTTGTACTGTAACAGTCGCCGAGTCGAGTTGTACTGAGTCAGTCAGTGAGTCCTGGAGCTACCGCCGAGTTAGCCAGCAACTAGTCAGTTGTATTCTGGCATTTGGAGTGTACTAATTGTGATACTGCAGATAGCCAGTAATCGTAAATCTGTAATTTGGGTGATTGTATGTGCGAATGTGAAATAAAATTCGCTACATTGAATACATCGAGAATTTATTTGTTGCGATATACGCCCGATACGCGACAATATCATGCTCTCAGGCGAGACAACATGCCTTTGACAAGACAGGAGACTGTTGAAGGCTTGTATGTCAGCTTTGTTCAATAAATTTCTCAGTTTTATTCCAGCTGCCATTAATTTTCAAATGACCTATGTAGTAATGTGCAGCTGCAGGTAAGATTAACCATTATCATACCACAATACATATGCTGACTATGCTGCACTTGGCGTCATCGTACTGGCCAAAGACTTTCGTTCATTTGGCTGGATGCTCAACAGATCAATGACTTGTCTTCACACAAAATGAAAATAGCATGCTGCTGGAACACAGAAACTGGTTACTCATATTGAACAGCTCACTTAATTCATAATATATGTGCAAAATGTACCGAGAAGCAGACTAATGTTGGTCATCCAGATAACACTTCACTGCATTCCAGCCAACGTGTTATATACACAGACAACCAACATGAATATTGCACAGATATCATGAAAGACCACATAATAAATATTGTGAACACTTTAACCCAGAATTATACCCACGGTGCTCAATATTAAATGACTTGTACCAATATCTTGTGCTAATTTTATGAATTTTTAATAATTTAATGTTACATGTAAGAATAATTTTATTACCCAGCAAGTACCTTAGAAGCCACTGGACTGTTAGGCAAATTTACATGAATGCTGAAGTTATATTCCCCCCATAATATAAACGTTTATCCCTGTATTAAAATATTTCAGGGCCTGAAGATGGCATAAATGTTCTGAAAAGTGTCACCCACCTAGTAGAATTTGGTGAAAGTATACTTTGTGTGTTTGAAAATTTATATGTTTCTGTGAGAGCTACACTGTATGATGCAACACGTAATGATCTTGACCTAGTCACTTAGTGGTGAGACGGTTTGGTGGGTATGATTTCTGTTGATTTATACAACATACATACTTCACAGAAATTTGGTAGTCAACAATCTGTATTTGCCAATATCAGAATTTTAGGCCCTATGTCGTGAGAGGCTTTTTCATCAACATGAGAGAAAATAGCAGTACTTGCCTTCACTCGTCTTCTTTGTCTTGAAAACGAGACTCGTCAGTTCTATGAAATATTGACATTCCAATTCACCCTAACATGGTTTCATAACCCAAAAAAGATATCCAAAGTTTAAGAAACCTCTATGAAAACATTAAAGACTTTTGTTCTGAATTCAGTTTTACCAGTTTTTGGAACTTAAGTAGGGCTGCTGATGAGTGTGTTGACCTATTTGGCCATAAGGAATGACTGTATAATATTTCCTTAATTGCAGATTTTCACGTAAAACTAGAATGTATTTCACAAGACAATTTGATCTGAATTTTGTTTGTTTTAGTATGCTGTGCTGGCATGCCTCGGCCTGTATGTGTTAGTGCATCGAGAATAGCTGTGTGTACAAGACTTCCTCAGCATCTTCATTCCGAGAAATGTTTGCCAGAAAATACGATTCCCAATTTGTTTTTCGAAGCAGTGACTAGTTCCATGTCTCAGAACACATGCTTTATCGTGAGAACTGATTGTATTTTGTCTCTAGAAGCCTGCACCTCCCATGAGTGAGAGATGCTATGTGTGTTACTTACTTCCTGTTGTGAATGAGCATATGTGTTTTGGTAGAATGTCAAATTAAATACGTATATTTCTTTTTGTTATTAAAGTGTTTAATGCATTACATTTCTAATAATATCACATTTTAATTTTTTTCCATCTCCCTATTTATAGTATCCATCCTCTCTATTCCTGTGCTCATGGATATGTATTAAATTCTATCATCTGCAGATATTACATAGCAATAAACACCTGTGAGGTGTGTGAGTAATCGCAGTTGGGGACAATTGGAAGAAAGCCTTCATGACCCATTTAAGGGGGCTCTCCAGTCATTTTACTGAAGGAAAAGCACACGTGCGCACACACAAAGAGAATCTCAGAATAGCTGGGTCCTAGTAAGATTGAAAATCAATTTAAAAAGACATAGACAGTGGAACTTTGATTTTGTCTTCACACATTTTATGTCTTTCCTGATTTTACACACTTTTCTGTTGGTCCTGACTAAAATCCTATAACAATAATGAGGTTTACCTTTTTTTATGTTTCTTATTCCCCCTATAAGTTTGCTCTTTGCTTCTTGGGTCTGGAGAATCAGAATTTACCCAAATTTACATTTACAGAGTTATGTTTCAAAAAATTCAAAGAAATGCTGGCACTGTTCTACACGTTGTCAAAGTTTATCTTAGTAAAGTAGGCGTATTTGCATATGAACATTTTTTAACATTATATGAATGCTTGAAATGCTAAACAGAGAGCTTGGTAATACAACTCGAAGATAGGAGGACCGTCAGGGAACTTGCCTTGGAAGTTGCTGGTAATGTGTTGGAGAAAATTATAATATTTGAAAAACTGAAGGAATTTGTAACTGCTATGGTCTTGGAACAGGTCTGATTCAGTCCTTGAATTGGGAGAAGGAGATACAAAGCAAGCTATTGCACATACTGGATATACGTGTATATAGGCCCACATGATATGTAGAGTAGTGAATTTTCATTTAGATTATTATATTATTCAAAGATTTAAATTTTAAATGGCTTACCAAAGTTATGGTAGTAAGCAGCCCCTATTTTTTTCTTTATATTAGATAATTTATATGCCACAAATTGTTTATAAATATATTTATATTATAAAATATAATATTACATATATATATATGTGTTAGATATGTGGGGCACATGATAGTGTAGTTGATTGAGGGGCTATACTACAAGCCGGAAGGTAGCGGGATCAAATCCAGATGAGGTCATTGAATTTTTTTCAATTGACCTAATCCTTCCAGCCGCATTATGACCCTGGGGTTCAGTCACCCTCTAACAGAAATCACTACCAGGAATTAATTAAATCATTTTCCAGGGGAGTAAAGCGCAGCCTGTGCTGAAGGCTGACAACCTTACCGCCATCTTTGAGCCAATTGTCTAGATAATGTGGGACCCTCAACGTCTCACAACCCTATGGGCCTTAATGGCCTGGTACAGGGATAGCTATACTTTTTTACTTACTTTATATCTTAGATATGTGATATACATTTCATTTTTTATCTTTTTTATATTTTATTTTATTTTCATGTATTTTATATTTAATTGTAATACTAACTTGAGACAGATTTTCTGTTATTATATAATATAATATGTTGCACTGGTATGGCTCCATATCAGTAGTTCAATGACTAAACGCATTCTTATATCAACTGCCTGATGATGGTCTAGTATGACCAAAACATGTAGCAGAAAATATAGTCTAATTATAAAATATTAAAAGCGACTAATTTGTTGTGTGACAGTTAACCTCATTCCTGTATATATAGCATGTTTATAGAGCTGTTGCCTGGCAATGTGTTAATCAAATCCGTTACAATATGATAAAATTTTAAAAATATTTATTTCCTAATAGGGTTATTTTGTGGTGAATGTAAAATAAAATGGCAATTATATATAATATATAATTATTATTAGTTTGATGACATTGGTTAGCTGGTGAACCACTGAAGGAAAAGACATGAAACTTCACTTTAGATCATAAATATTGTGGCATGACCCCTGAAAGGCAGAATAGTTCATTGCTAGGCAATGACATGGTAAGCATGTTTCTGTAGAAATGAACCTGTACACAGCACTAGAGGAACTACTGTTTCCATGTAATGGTGAGGTAAACACACCTTTATAACAATAGAAGAATTGAAAGGATTCTGACGATGGTGTATACTGTACACAATACTGTACAAAATAAGCCAAAAGAAATAGAAGAATTGCTAGGAAATGGTGTTTTCTGTTCGGGCCGCCCCAAGGCTATATAACAATGATCTCACGCAGCTGAGGGAGTCTCTGGAGATGAAGAAAAGAAGACATAGAATGTCATATAGCTGGTGAAATGTAGTGACAAATTTTGTATAAGTGTGCAATAAATCTGGTCATCAATCCAAAACCTGTCCATAAGTCACAGACTCCCAAATATGCAACAATATAATTACAACCATACCTGCAAATTTTGTAAGTTAAAAAGTATGAACTTTCCGACATGAAACTGTCAGATTGTGTCTGGCTTCTCTGATATATTGGAAATCAAAGCAGAAGGTTAATATGAAATTATATGGATAAGTTCACGTTTGTTAAATTCCGTGTTCTTCAGGCACACTGGTACAGATGGAAGCATATGTCAGAACTTCATCCCACGTTTAGAAACTAATTTTCTCTGCATGTTAGTAATGAGAAACTACCATAATACTGCTACATTACATCAGTAGCTGTGGCTACTCTACTTCCTGGCCAAAGAATAGAATCAATGTCACAATCTTTATGTCCTGTGTTAATTTTGTGGTGTAGGTAATCTCTGTCATACCTTTACCATATTGTGCAGTATTGCATTTGTGTTTATTTGTAATTATTTGATAACACTGTCAGTAACACAAACTAGATAGATACTGAATTATTGCTTGATAATTAATAATGCATTAGAAAGGATGAGGAAGAAAGGAGTTGCAGTCTAATTTAAAATGCTATCCCCAGAATTTGCCGGGGAGGGGGGGTCCAAAGTAAACCATGCAAGACCTCAGGCTGAAGTGTTCCCATTTCAGCCAACTTGCTTAGTGCAGTATTAGAGTGCCGAATATTTCATACTAAGAAAGTTTTGAAAGGATTTCATTTTAATGTAAGAATCCCGAATCACTGCATTCAGAGCGCATGAAATTTTTCAGAGTTGTAGAGTGGAATATGGTGTGTCAATAGCATCAGTTCATTAATTGCATAGTTTTGACATGCTTTCCAAAAATGGTGGTGAACACCAGAGACATATACTTGCCTTCATCTGTTCCAGCATAAATATTATAAAAATGTGAAATTCCAAAACAGTGTGTGGTTCTTATTTTATTTTTTAATTTAGACAAAAGTGGCAGGGCAGAAGGTATATGCTTTATAAGACTTAATGCCATAGAACTTTTTAAGTGAACGAAAGAATGCATAAGGGGTAGATCTAAACCAGCCCTTCAACCATGACCTTCAATGATCTATTATACATCCCACTCTGATTCAACCCTTCAACAATCCTAATCTTTGAATGAAATGTAGTATCTTACATACAGGGACCTCTTGGCTGTCACCCTGCTCCATGAAGTAATTGCCAAGGTGGCGAAATCTTTAGTAAGCTATAACCTGGCAGTCCCATACGATGTGTGTGGCTGATTCATGATTTTCTACGCACCTTTCACAAATGGGGCTGTTCGTCAATTCAGTTTTGAATAGGTGTCTTTTCAGGTGACAGTGGCCTGTAAGTAGTCCTGTCACCCACCATAACTGCTATGTGTTCAGTTTTAACAGTTCTTTGGTTCCTCTGACAGAGGGCCATTTTAGGAATCTCTTTGGCTGTTTGAGTCCTCTTAAGGACTCCTAGTATTTTTATGGTCCCTGTTTGTTCGATCCATGACAGCCTTCTTGGCAGTTTCTGCTGACATGCCCCAAGCTGGTTCAGATCCTAATTTTGTCAGTTGATCAGCAGTATCATTATCTTCAGTACCCTTGTGACCTGGCACCTTATCATTTGAACTCTGTGATGTATAGCCAGTTTCACGAGGGATTGATGGCAGTCCAAAACCACATTTTCCATTGAGCTGGTACCTTTCAAGTGCTTTAATTGCAGATAGATGTTTCTATTTTTATAGTGCATTTTTAGATTACTGTGCATGCCTTGATAGCATACACTTCTGCCTGGAATATTGTGACGTTTCCCAAGGCTGAAGCTAAGCCTCTGCCTCGCACCATAACTACACACCCCAATCCCAGTGCCTTTGTCATGGAACTATTTGTATACCAGATAAGTCCCCCTTTCCTGTCGGCTCGAAACACATATTTCCATTCACTTCTGTCACGGAATCTGACCAAGAAAGTTTTGTCATAGACATGCCTTGGTATTATTTTATCAGTCCCTGTGTGCAGGATGGGTTCTCTCATGCCCTGAGTAATGTATGCATGTCCAAAACCTTCGGATTTTGGGTTTCCATTGATCACTGTAGTAGAGTCATACTGAATTCCAGTTTGGGACGTTTTTAAGCTGGTACGCATACTGATAAACAACTGAAGCACACGTGAAAATTATTGAAAGCTGCACATCTTCCAGTGCATTGCATGCTTCAACCTTGAGGCTGAAACTGGACAGTGATAGTATTGGAAAACTTATCAGAAAAAATAGCTGCATGCGCACATTGTATATTCTTTACAGAAAACGTCTTAATAGCTCTGTTTTCCGGACATCTCGTTGCATTGCGTATGATATAATGTAAACATCACTCACATCAATATCCCTGAAATAATTTTGCGGTGTACAGTTATTGTGCAGTTGAATGTTGCTTCTGATGCAATATGCTCGCAGTGCTTAAAATCACGGCATACCGTGGGCTCGTAACGACAAAACACAGAACGTTATAACTAAGAACATTCCCACTACGAAATTGCCTACCAGGACGGGCAGCAACAGAGAGCGAATCTTGCACTTTCGGGCAACGTAAGTGCCTTGAAGTGTTACAACATACCGGAGAGCGCTGTAACCACCTCCTTCTCGCTGAGACGTCGCTCATGGGAGCGGGAGACGGCAGGGCTTTGGGCAACGTACGTGCAGCACAAAGCGCTAAGTTTAAGGGTTACGAAATAACGGAGAACGTTATAACCATGCTCGAGCCCGCTGATATATCGATCACCAGGGCGGGCGACAGCAGACACCGTGTCGTGTAGTCTCAAGCTGTAACCGGCACGGTGGAGGCGCATTACTACACGTGTTATCTAGGAATTCGGGGCCAAGTGACGATGACACCCTCGCATCGCGTCGTGGCTAATTAATACCAGCAATGTATCTCAGCAGAGCAAGAGTGATCCAAGCCGCAAATGTGAGCTAAGGTATGTGGGTTCAGCAGGCGGGTAGCGAACTCAAGGCTGTCATATGTGGTTAATGACCCATCCAATCGGGAGAAGAAGTGGCAAATTCTTTCCCTCATTAATGCTCCTGCGAGACGAATAAAGATGCCTGTTAGAACATTCGCGAGACTGTAAATTTTCTCGCAACGAACTGAAATGCAATCAAGGTTGTGGAGTTATCAAGTTGTTTTAGTTATTGTTTTCAGTTCTATATTCAACTACACCTTCGTCAATTGATTTGTATAGTTGAAGTGCTTGGTATATTAATTTAAGGCAGAGGTTCTTGACCTTTTCTACCCAATGCACTACGTGAAGGTCACACTTCCACCCTCCAGATTTTTCTTAATTAGGTCAATGAAAAATGTATGTACAGTTTACAACTTAGTGGAGCGGAGTGCTTCTTAAGAAGGTAGTAATTATTCTGCGTGTCTAAAATTCCTTATGTTTTACGGAATTCGAAGGTTCATTACCACGAACACAAGATCCTTATCCCCTGTGAGATGAACCCATTCCACACCATATTATCCTATTTATTTAAAGTCCATTTCGATGTTACCTCCACATCTACGCTTTATCTTCCAAGTGGCCTCTTTCCTTGAATTTTTTCCTAGCAAAATTTTGTGTTCATTTTTCTTCTCTCCCATTTTACCATATGCTCCGGCCATTCCATCCTCCTTGATTTCACCATTCTAATAATATCTGGTGAGGGGCCCCACAAATTACGAAATTGTTCATTATCCAATTTTCTCCAGCCTACTGTTACTTTCTCCCTCTTAGGTCAAACTGTTCACCTCAACATCCTCTTATTAAACACTCTAGCCCTATATTCTTTCCTTAACGTGAAAACCATTTTCACACCCCTGAAAACAAAAAGCAAAAATTATTATTCTGTATATTTTAATGTGTACTTTCTCAGATAGCAAACGTGAAAACCTAAAAATTCCGGAATGCTTTGCACAGACATTCCTTGAATTAATTTTGTTCTTAACGTCTTCGTGAATGCCGCTATCACTTGTGTCGTCTACATATATATTAAATTTGACACTTTTTTCACTGTATTTATTAGCAATTTTCATTGCATGATTTTATTCTGTATTCTGGTAATGAGACATCAACAAATATGGCCTACTTAATCTTTTTATGTTTATTTCCAAACCAACCTCATTATTAGCGTCTAGTAGAGTTTATCTTCACAGACCACTGATGTTCCCCATCAGTTTTCATTGACGTTTCTGTTGGCATACGGCTTTTAAATCGAATTAGGGAAGTATTAAAATAGGTAAAAATATAAACAAAAAATGAATTAATCTCCTTATTATTGGTAGAATATCGTATGTGATATTTTATAGTTGGTTGGGGGAGAGAATAAGGGTCACACGAGAATTCCAGAGTATCAAACAGTACCCCTATATAAACATGGAACCACATTTGCATTGCGCGGGATTTCCCATTCTAAAGAATGAAAGAGAACTGAAAGTGTCCTGAAAAGGAAGCCTATGGATTTGTGGGCTGAATTGAATGGGGGAAGTTATTGATTTACATTATTCACACGGCAATTTATACATAAAACAAAAGACCTTACAGTAGACTGTATGTGTATCATAAATGGGAGAAATTCCTATTCCTTACAAAATGTTCATTTCGGAATTTCAAGGAAGGTCACTCCGGAGGTCGAGTAAAACAGTAAGTTACTAACTTCCCATATACGTATAGTGCCGGGATCTATTATAAATTAGTATTGTACAATTAAATACCAAATTATATCTTATAACGGTCATCAGGACAGGATTTACTAGATGAGGCCAAACGGAGAAACAAGCTGATGGAAGTGGAGCTTTGGTGGAGATCTTACGAAGCCCCATTTTGGTTTCTAGGAACTTGTTCACATAGCTTGGTCACGATGGAGCGCGATTCGGGGGACGTGAGGCGAAGGGACCGTGAAAGAATCATGGTACAAGAGGGCACCGAATTGTGGAAACAGAAGAAGCGAGACCAATGGGCGCAGAAGATAGTGGAGGAGCGGGAGGTGAGGAAGAGCACTTTTCTGCTCGAATTTCAACAGCGGTATTTTATTCAGGAAGAACACAGAATGTCGGCCAGAGTGTTGGGTAACCTTACTGTGGATATACATGAATTTTCAGTCAGAAGAATTGTAGGATATTACCTCGAAATAAGCCGCTCTTATTTCCTGACTTTCCAATTTATATAATAGTTACTCATTTTATATTTTCATCTGATGCGGCATAAATTTTCAGTCGTTAAAGCAACCTAACCAACTCCACGGAACAAATTACTTCTTGAAAAGTTAAGAGTCGCTCAGCCAATGGAGAAATTTCCATTTTTTATGGAAACCATTTTTTTTTTGCCCTGCTCAGAAGAGCCTACCACTGGACCATACCCTCAGCCAGTGCATATCGTCACATCCCACCTCAAGATTAAGTTTAATATAACACTCATCTCATGAGTGTTATATGTCCTATCAATTTCGTCTGCTTGAATTGATGGAGCTAAAAATTTATTTTAAAATTGAAGTCTTCTGAGTGGTGATATCGTGTGATCTCGGAGATGATTACAATGGTTTGGGGATACCTACTGCCTCAAAATGAAATTTAACCCAAATTTTGAGTCAGCGGGCGCCTTCATAGCAATGGTAACCATCCATGAGACTACACGGTGTCATATCCAAGAGCTCTTTGTTGCACATCCTCTCTGCTATCTTCAATGGGTAGAAGGGTGAGTACTCGATTATTTTACAGTTAATAGCGACGTTTCATCTAGTGCACATTATTTTATTCATTTATGGTTTATTTATCGGCGGTCAGCACCTCAGACGATGCAGCCCCAATCCATACTTTCCATATAATGGCCATACAAATAGTGGTCGGTCATAAGTGTCTCGTTTGAGAGAAATGTGTATGCCCTCTGAAGGCGTGATTAGGAACAAGCACATCCTTCTCACATGCATGCACAGGCCCGCACAAATTACGACAGCCAAGTCGCCACAGCGCCTAAAATCTTCATTATGGATCCTAGAATTAACATGCTGTTATATTACCAGTCTATTAGTGCACTGCCGGTCACGGTAGCCGAGCGGTCTAAGACAAGCACTGTCTTCCCTCGCTCGGAAGCCGGGATCGTGGGTTCGAATCCCACTCAGGGCATAGATATTTGTGCGCGTTTTTCTGTGTTTGTCTACAGGTAGAGGCATTGCGATGAGCTGATCACCCGCCCAAGGAGTCCTACCGAATGTGTAAGATCTAGAAAAACCGAAGTGAACGTAGTTCATGGAGGTAGGCCTAGGCCCACTGGGGCTGTAGTGCCAAGGAAAAAAACAATTAGTGCACTGCCCATCAGAGGCAAAGGGAGACATCATTCCTTTTGCATTTTTATTTCCGTCCCTCCTTTCTTCGTTACTGTTTTCCTAGTAATTTTTTTGTTCTTCCTAGGGCCATTCTTTCCCCCTTGTTTCCTCGTCCTCCTTCACACTAAGACATTTCCCTTTTTTCTTGTATCCTCTTTGTCATTTACATCCATCCTTCAAGTTTCCCATATTCATTGATTAAGCTGCTTTAATTATTCTGAAAAATAAATAGAATTAGGGTTATGAGATCACCTCGATGTCTTTATGTGTGTGTGTGTCCCCTTTATTGCTAGGTAACGGCCCCATAAACACGTTCCCACACCAACGAATGCATATGCGGTGTTTTATGTGAGGTCGGAGTCGTATCAGATACTCAGTATGTAGTGAAAGGAAAGTGGGTGGTTAGTTCTGTGTGTATGAATCATGAAATTGAAATCGAAACCCTAATAGCTGCACGACTGCCAGAGTTTTGAGAGAGTAAATTACGGTCATGAGTCCCGCAGGACTCGGAACCAAGAATCACTGAGCTGGCGAGGGGAGCAGCAATTTACTCGACCGACAGGTTAGTCCTTCCCAGAACTTCTCGTTAGTATATCCTGTCAGCATTCGTGTCTCCGTATCCTAGCAACGGTAGAAGATGGTGTACGTTTTCTCCGTATACTAGCAGCGGCGCGATGGGGTTTTCCCGAGAATTAAAGGATCGGTCTATTATTTATATACAGACGTTTCAATGCCATTTTTATTACTGAGAAAACGGGAAAATTTCTCAACTGAAGTATTTCGATTTTTATTCTGATTCCTATTTTTTGGAGGTGGCTTCTAGAGTTGTATCAGATTCGTGCAGGTCTGCGTATGCGCAGCTATCTGTGCCGTCTCTCTCACGAGTTGATCCCTGGCCCCGAATGCTGGAGTTGCAACCGTCCGCTCGCTGTCTTACACACCGTAATTTCTCAAGTAAATCTGTGAATATACAGTAATACTCGAAAGGTTGGTGATAAAGTTTCATTGATTTTTTCCATAATTATGATAGGAAGTATCCATTGTGTGTGATATATATTTTTGGAGTTGGCTATACTCACGAAACGTCTTATATATTAAATACATAGCAGATAATTCCCAACGTAATGCATGCAGTACCACTAATATAGTTCGTGCGTTCGTACATCTGAAAGGAAAAGCTCCAATATAGATTAACGAATTCTCAGTGACAGAAATATAATGTGTCTTGCATCACCATTACTGTAGTAATAATAATAATAATAATAATAATAATAATAATAATAATAATAATAATAATAATCGTCACCACCACCACCACCACCACCATCATCACCATTTCGCCAGCAAGTGAAGTAGAGTATGTATTGATTTCCAATAGCTGCGCCAGATGCTGGCTCAGTACTCCCCGTGGGGCAGGCCGGGGTGCGGGGCACCCAATGCTGACGGGATCCGCAAACGGAAGCTGCATCTGCAGGGTCTCTTCGCCGAGGAGGACAAGGTACAAACCTAATTGGTCATGATCACAGTCAGTCAATTCCTCACAAGTTCATAACACTGAGTATTTAGTTTTCTAAGATCAACAAGTTCGTGACGATCGTATTATTTAATTATTAATTATTGTCTTATTGTATATTATCCGTCGTTCTGTTTCTCCGAGACTTGACTCTGGCTGCGCTCTCAAGTAAGTAGCCTACTCAGATGGGATCAATCTACAGAGTTAGTCCCCATGCCCAAACATAGGGACTAGTTTTCTTAGATGGGGCCAAAATGAGTAAGCATTTTACCGGAGGACGCAGCTAGAATCCGTTCTCCGAAACTTTTTTTTTTAATAAAATTGGATGATGGATAATGTACAAAGGGTCAGTAATTATATTTTGTTTTGTGTTGTCGACCCTTACAAATTGTGTTAGTCTTAAATTTTCCCTTTCTTTTAAAAACGCATTTTTTGCCACTTTGCATTTATTTATTTCTTCTAATGAATTTTATGCTGAACTCTTGTGACAAATATGAATACTATACTCGTAACTCAAAGCAACCAACTTGTGTAGCGCTGCCAAATTTAGATGGGGATACAGGAATATAGGTCTCTTAATGTGCCTGTATATACAGGTAATTAAATACACATAGTGTCACGTGTATGAGTGACTATAGACGGGGTTTGGATTGGTAATTGGATTTATTGAACACTTACAGATTGTAACCACAAGTAATAATAGCGCTATCGCTAATTCACACACATACTGAAATTCACTACAGCACGCACTAAATCTTCTCAGGCTGCTGCATCTTCACCGGTTGTCCCCTGGTAACGGTTTCCAACGCCATAGCTTCTTCAACTTCCGTGTTCACGTCCTTACTGGTCGTTGACTGTCTCAAAACTAACGAAAATCTAGACTTGTCCTGCTTATAACACCTCGGCACTGACCGCATAGTAAACATATCCCCACAATAGTTCTTCTATTCTTGTATCACGTAGCTGTCGCAGTGAAAGCATAGAGAACACCGCTTTACAGTTACTCCATTAGTGCGTTTTAAAAATCTTTTGGTGCCATTACCTAACAACGGCCGTTGTTTACAGAGCCATTGCCTGGCAACGGCTATTGTAGAACTGCTTATTTCGCGGTCGTTGCCCAGCAACTGGTCTACACGCCACAACAGTTTCGAAAAATATAACAAATTATAGTTGCAGATCTTAATAAGATGTATGTTGTTTATTTTTCAATCGTTATGTACAAGATGTGTGCCTTCTGAGAAATCGAGCTTCATAAAAGTATGCATTAAAACGAGCAGATACCAAAATTAAGTAAACCAAAAATTTTCTGTGTGACGTCCTTATACCAAGTTTAATCGAAATCTGGTCCGTTTATTTGGACGCTAAACATGCAGTGTGGTGAACTCTGATGAGGTATGCATTGTGAGTATGCAGCTAACCCATTGAAGTCGATATTGGCTTTGTAAGGGCGTGCATCCTTGTATTTTCCTGGAGAGAGGAACGGAGAATGAAGGTGTGTAGAAGAAAAAATCTCGTGCCCTTCTCCACAGCCTTCCAGCCTGTAAACCGTTGCTGTGCTTGCTGAGCTATCCCGACTTCCTTAATTGAAATCGTCTAGTAAGAAAATTCAGATTCTATAAAGAGGAGCTCAGTTCTTCCTTCCATTCTGAATAGAAAGTATTGTGGGATATTATCTTTTTAAATTATACCAGATCCTCCTTGTTTCAACATGTGTCGAAAGCTATAATATCCCTCGTAACATATATAGTTATAATCGATAAACTTTTACTTAGCCGTTAACGTCAGTTTTTGCTTTGTATGGTTTCGGTTCTTCCAGTCTGTTCTGAAATACATTCGACAAAGCAACCCTCGATTTGGAATCGTGCGCATTGGTAATAGACAATGCACAGTGTCCATCATAACTGTGGTAATGAATCGCAGAGACAAATCATCAGAGACTCAAGAAATTCATATGCGACTTGTTTTGTTTTTATTGCTAGTGGGATGGGACTAAGTCCCTTGAAATACGGCCACTTCTGGTCTATTGTACCAGCCCCAGATGATAGGTGAGGGTGATTGTGGAGCAATTGGTGGAATGAAGATTGGCAGGGTAAACCGAAGTACTCGGAGGAAACCTGTCCCAGCGCCACTTTGTCCACCACAAATCCCACTTGACCAGACCCGGGATCGAACCCGGGCCGCCGCGGTGGGAAGCCAGAGACTAACCGCTTGAGCTATGGCGGGGCTTGTTTTGTTAACTTAATGAGAAGAGAACATTTTTAGACCTGACACAGAGTGGCGCCTTTGAGAAGTTTGACCGGTTATGGTCCGCATTGCAGAAAAATCTGGGCGTCGTCTTGGGGCGATCGTGGGCTGGCACACCACAGAGAGGCAACTCGGGACAACAGAAACCGCAGAGCAGCGCGTACAAGGCGGACCCGATCCTGCGCTTCCAGTTCAATGAACCTGTGCGGCGGTGCGTGGACAACGTCCTGAGGTATCGGCGGAACAACCAGGACAAGCAGGCATACCGGAAGGAACTAGGTAAGCAACAGGGACAGGAGACTACATGATTGCCAGGGACGGGGACGGAGGACTGGATGAAGAACAAGTATGGAAGCTAGATGATGAACAGTTGAGGGATCAGGACTAGGCTACGTACACGGACGGGGTAGTGTAGGGACAGTTATGAGGGGTAGGGACAATGATAGGGTAATGAGGTTGTGCTAGGACAGGGACGGAATGCTAAGCGAGAGAAGGTTGGAGGCTAGGTGAAGAAGAGTGACTGGGAACTGGAAGAACGGGAGGGAGAGAAACCAAGCGAGGGACAGGAGTTAAACGATGGACAGGCGGCTAGGTGCGGGCTGAAGACATAGTAACAGACTATAAGAAGGGGATGGATGTAGGTGTGGTGGTGTAATTTGGTACTACTCTTACAGATGCTCTAGTTTCGGAGAAGCAGCGGGCCCAGGCCGAGGCGACGACCCGCGAAGCACAGCTGGAGCACAAGCTGGTCAGTAAATATTGCATTTGCGTTTCTTGCCATTCAGAGAACCTTCCCAATTTGTTGGTGCCTGTGATTGATAAACCCTCATTTCCAGTTGGAAATGGCGTCCCCCTGGGGACGCTCCGGCCCTGGGGGGTTCTCGTGGAGGGACCAACGAACAGTTGGCTTACATTTTCTGCATTCATTGGTACGTTCAGCTGTTAGTTTTCCAGTCCAGCAGTAGACGTACGCCATCTCTATGAACGACCTCTGTTGTGACGAAATGATAGCGAATTCCGGCATCGCTGAAGGGGCCAGTTTGTTTCTGCAATTTAATGTGTCTCTGAGGCGCAACACTGTTCTTGTTCTTGACTTCCATGAAATCCGCACGTGAGAAGAACATAAACTGATAGGTAGAGAAGGAAACAGAGCAACCCCAGAAAGCAGGCGGCGCTTGTATAAGAACACAATAGATATTGCACGGCACACATTGTTCCAGTATGCATATAGAACGAGAAATGAAAGTTTTCTTACGAAGTATGCCGGCAGACAGGGGAACACGAGTGAGGCCTTGCGGCAATTCCGACCAACGGAATGACACCAAATGTACTGAGAGGAAAGGGAATCTGATAAAGGGGAAACCGCAATATAAAGATCCGAATTAAGGGAAGAGCTCTTTGCGACACATCTGAATTGCTGGGTAGAAAGATGCATGTGTAAAGCATAATTCATAATGCTATGATTAGTATTCTGTAGAAATAATCTCGGAAATCAGGCCTAAACGATGTAAAGGAAATGTAATTAACGTTACAGTATCATCTGATCAGCGGCTGCATGCGCTGTTTCATTATTCCCATATATTTGAGATTTACTGAAATATATCAGAATATGTAATTACACTGAGTTTCATGGAGGTAGGCCTAGGCCCAAATTGGGGCTGTAGCGCCACAGAAAAAAAATGTAATTACACTGGGGACGCGCGGTAGCGTAGTTGGTTGAGGCGCTATGCTACAAGCAGGAAGGTCTCGGGTTCGATTTCCAATGAAGTAATTGTATTTTTCAATTGACCTAATCCTTCCAGCCGTGAAGGGGGGGGGAAAGCGAAAGACTTTGAGAGGACAAGTTACTTTCTCCATATTAGAGTCTTTCAGATAAGGTGGCAGTCCATGTGTCCATATTTGAAACAAAAATTAGTGTAACCGACATGTTGTTAGTAAGAATCCATAATACAAAATTTAATCAAAATCCTTTAATTTATAACGGTATTACGTGCTGGAAAACCAGATTGGTACCGTTATTAGAAAGACGCTAATTGAGGACGTGGGGGGGGGAGGGGAAGGCAGAAATGGGCTGAATACAACAGCAGATTGTTCATAGAGACTCACAGTTCACTTGCACACGCAAAGTTCAGAAGCAACAAACTAACGTGGCACACTATATATAACGCACCGGGCATGAATTTAACTTGACGAAACTAAACCTGACATAAACCGCAAAGAGGCTCGGTGAGAATCAGCAGGCCTGTCTATCCGTCTGCATGCCA